AATGAAATGTAGCCCATGTGCGTGGAACAGTCTTAGGGGCATTACTTATAACCGCTTGCCCACCCAGAATTGTTGGTATACCACACTCAGAAGCATTAACTACTTTCAGAAATGGTCCAAGGACACCTACTTCACTAAACTCTAAACAAATCTGAAATACACTTAGTTTTAAAATCCATGACTTCTATTTTAGACCTGAGAAAGGACTTGCATATCCAAATGCCTAGTTTTTCATACTATACTGATTAGTCTAATAAAAAGTATTATCACTACCCACAAATCTTGCACTTCCAAGAGAATGTTAAAATTATAAGAATATGCAAAAGAAAACAGAACGCAACACTGTGCACTGCACGAATAAGTAGTCTGGGTTTTACCAGCTACAAAAGAAAGCAAGATGAAGCAAAGAGCTCAGCTGGTGATACTGTAAAGAAATTTTTAAGATTAAAAGTCAGAGCACACGCTACCAAGAGGATCTTTCAAAAGGAAAGTCAACTCAATTTTCTTGCATTCGTAACTCAAATATATGAACTAGGGCACAAACTGCTTTTGAACTGCATTTGAAAAAAAAAACCCCACGGTAAGGCTCTTTAAAGAAAATTAGGATTTCCAAAGACATAACACTTACACCATCATGGTGTGCGTGTTAATGTGCAAACACACAAATGTTGGCAGAAGACTAGAGGTCTCAGAGATGCCGAGTTCTTGCCAGCCTCCTGAAAACAGACAGATAGAGGAAATAAATTTATTACAGCTTCCACTAAGGAAAAGGCTCCAGAGGGAGCCCCACTGTATTACTGCATACCAAAGAGTCCACGTGGGGCTCTAGTGTCTAACGAGCTGTAAAAAAAAGTCACAAGAAAAGGCTTCATTAGTTCTGCTACTTATAGAACTACCAGAAATGCTTTTTAACGCATTATTAATTCATTGAACACACTGCCAAAAGATGGATGCTAAGGAGTTAATTCAAAAAAATGAATTCAAGGAGAAAGCTAGCAACCTTTATGTTTAACATGCTAAGGGATACAAATTAAAGCCTAATTTTTAGGACAGTAAAATAATCACTGGAGGTAAAGAAAAAGCCTTCTTTACGGACTCTTTGTTCCGCAGCATCTGGTGCCAAGTCTCTGGAGAAACAATTTTGCAATGCACAAACTCTAATTCCGGAACCACGCTGCAAGAAGTAACTTACAAGTCTTTCAGAAATTCTCTTACGCAATTTGAACCAATTCCTGCTCAGGCAAGCCCTCTCTCCTAGGATACAAGTGCAACTGTCAAATTTTGAGACCTCGTCACTGAACTAGCACTCATTTTCCATCCAGGATTCATAAGAACTCAAGTTTTTCCAATTATAGTAAATCGAAGTTGTCACATATCAGGTCAGAGATGCATCTTCCCTCTGCCCATAATCTCTTTCTCTCTTTCTAGTCCTTGTGATCACTTGGAGTTTGGGTTTTACTCTATCCACTGGTTGGTTTTGCTTCTGGTTGTTTCTCTTTTTTAGTGTTTCATTCTGGAGAAGCCACAACTTTTGAGGTTAAATTTTCTATTTTAAGTCGTCCCCGCCCAAGCTTGTGCAACCAGCACAAAGTACTCGGGCAATTCTCCTCATATCACTAAGCACCTGGGGTTTCAGATTATATGTGGACCATGACAAGAAGTTGCATCCTTAGATAAAAACAATACGCTCATGTTTTCTGCTCATTGAGAGGCAGTGATTTCAAGCACAGTTTGATGGATGGCCAAGTTCTGGCTTCATTCAAACTAGTATGACTCATATTCTCCTAGGGTGAACCCAGATGTTAAATCACTGAAAAATATGCAAACGAAGCATGGAACTGAAGTCTGAAAGTTTCAGTTACCCTGTTTTATCCCACCTAAAAAAAAAGGCTGTATGTGTTGGAAGACATCTCCACCCAATGGAAAATATTTGAATAATGAAGAATTTCATTGCTTACTGCTCTTCTCTTTTTTCTACTCTGACGAGTCCCTGATCATTTCCCTCACTGCTTCTATGTAACAGCACTTTCTGGTAGGTGAGAGGTTTTAAAACAGGATTACCGCTTTGGAAACCATGCTGCTAGCTGGCATTTTCTAACCCATTTCACCCCCGCAGAAAATGACTTCTACATTGTATTTGAGACAGACTACTCACCCATAAGACCGAGTCCTTCAGAAACAGTTTACCATAATAAAAATTGTTGCACCGCCATCATATTCATTTTATATCATATTGTCATTCTACTATCTTTCTTTTGCAAACACGATAAAACAATTTCTCTCAAAATAATGCAGCGCAAAAAGCCCAAGCAACACCAAGTAGCAGAACGCAAGATGGAAAGGTGATTCTCCTATGGAACACGTATTAAATGCTCAGTATTTAAATTTCAGTTCCAAGAGGATTCAGCTTCCTCCCCTCATTTCGAACATTTGAAACAAAATAAAGCAAACAAACAAAACCTAAGCCAGCTTGCACATATTTTTATTTCTGGATAAATATTAAGAAATCAATGAGAAATCTGGAACACTGAGTAGGTATTGCCCTTGGCTGCACATTTCTACTTGTTTTGAGTTAATTCATAAGGAGGTCAAACCAGTGGAGAACTAGATTTACACTGAAAGAGTAACACTCCTTGTATAATGTGTATGACTTGCAAAGCGAGTGATAATGTTCAGAGCTGCCACACAGAGTCGGGAAAGTTTCACACAATGTTTGGGAAAAAAATCAGAAATAGTCCAATCCCTGGCAGAGCCACCATATGGAGTTTACTGCAGTAACATACGTTTTGGCCACTCAGCATAGCTCTGCTGCCAACAATGATAGACTGAACTATTTCTTTACAAGATACACTCCTATAACCAAGCAGTAAATCCTAACCAGAGAGGCTCAGACATAAGGAACAAAAGAAAAACATCACACTTCAACGAACACTTTAGCATCCACAATGGTAAAAAAAAGATGAAATAGAGTATAAGCTCTCGGCACACGGCATAGGATGCAAAAAGGTACTCAAACCTATTTAGACAGCCATGGATTTATCTGTATCAGATCTCCTACTACATTATGAGCTATTGTCAGTGTGATCCAAAAAACAAATAGGCAGGTATCTGCGGGACATTCATCAACTTCCTTAAGCCTCTCAAATTTCTGCATGCCTAATGTATTCAAGTATAAACAGAAAACAGGAAAGCAGAGACACAACAAGCTCCCAATGAAGGCTCATGACAGCCATGCCACCTGGCATGGATATTAGCTACCTCACACGCTGCAACCACACCAGAACACACAAACAATTTCAGTGCAAGAGCTGATCTACTATACCGGTGTGACCTCGCTTGCCTCACTGAACCAAGTGCCCACAGCCTACACCAATGCAAGGCCAGCGGAGAGCCGAAGGATCTAGCTGGTGTAGCTTACCAGACTGCCCCCACTGCCCTTCCTCCCACCTTCCCCTCTCTTGTTGCTCAGCAGCAGCTGTGAAGCCCTCTTGAGCTATCTGGGCACCACGTTTGGCTGGGTAACACTCCTACTGACTACAGGACTTCACAGCAGAGTTGCCAAGGAGCTTGTGCATACCCTCTTCTGCCAAAAAGGTTGAAATGACTTCATCCATCACAGCTGTTTCCACTGTGAACATCAGCTTAAGAGATACTTCAATTGCTTTAAAGGTTTTCAAATCAACTATCTTCACACATTTAGATACCATGACTTAAATTAGCTGAAGTACCTTAATGCCTTTTTTTAACTTAAAAGGAGATGTCACGTGGTAACTGCTTACCCTCCCACTGCAAATTCAGCTCCAACTGCTTACTGCATGTTTCAAAATGCGGATGCCTCTGAAATCTGGCCCTATAAACCAAATGCAAAGCCACTGCAGTCAGTGCAGAGACTGACACTGGCTACAGCAAGTTTTGGATCAGACTCTACAGCTACATCTTTATATCCTAGTTCTATTCCCTTCTGCCATATTAAATTCCTTTGAGTTGAACTGAAGATTGTCAATCAAATTCTACCTGAAGTTATCAGTTCAGAACCTATAAAGAGCGTAAGAGTTCAGACCAGAAGAGAATGGGAAAATCAGCAGAATAAAATGCATTAGAAAGGCTATCAATTTGCTTAGCCCATTATTGACTTTCCCTGAGTGTAAGATGAAATCTGGGAGGCTTAATTGATTTCTTCATCTGTCATTCTTACCTAAACTTCTCATTTAAAAATAATGGCTAAAAGCACAGGATTTTACTTGCAAAGAAGAAATCAACACTGGTAGATTATTCTTGGGAGTATCCGTGCTTGTTTGTGTATGTAACACCTACAACCTGGAGTGCATGCACCGAAGACACAGTACATCTCACCAAAAGAAGCAATGAACAAGATCGCTATCTGTCAAGGCTCCAGGCTGGATTATCTCCTCCAGCCACGAGGCACTTGTTACCTTTGGCTTCCTACACGTGCCCACCCCTGCGTTTGTAGAGCTGCAATCTGCAACGACAGCTACTATCATGAACGCAAAACACTCTTAATTCCAAAAGGTGCCTCTTAAGGCCTTATGATATTTAAGAAGAGAGGAAAGAAACAAAGACCATCTGTTACTGCAAGATAAATAACAATTATGTTATCTACACATAAGGAAAATTACCAAAAACTATCACACACAATTACATCTCCAAACAGCGCCATCTTCATTACAGTTTTTCTCCACTTTTTTTTTGTTGAAAACACTAAATATTATAGAAATCTTCCTGTAAAATAGGAATTTGGTCTTTATTAACATTTTGTAGAAAAAGAAAAAAAGACAAGCAAAGGCTTTAAAATAACCATTCTGGATGTAAAATTCTTAATACCAAATTCCTGACTAAAAGCAAAAAGGAAGTGAAATAGACATTTAAACTAAATGCATAGGATGGCTGAGGTATTTGTATGTTGATGCAGCTCTTCACTGGAAGAAAAAAAGAAAACAAATCAAAAGCCCCACCAATGTAAGTCATTTAGCACTCCTTACCTTGGAACCTGCCAACATAGTTCTCAGCATTTTTGTTCCTCTTCCAATACCAACCACTGCAAAGACAGAAGGAGAAATGCCACTTCAAAACCAGCTCTGCAGTGCCCTTATTCAACACCATTCGTTACCAAATACTACGCTAGTCAAAAACACAGCCTTTCATGCTCTGTTAGCTACAGTCAACGGTTATGAGAAAGTATCTCTGCCATTCAAACACCACAAGACTAGTGAAAGGAAAATAGTCTAAAGCAGACGATAAATAAGCTTCATCTTTTGTTAAAATGCTTTGATTCAACCCCTAGATTTATTTACCTTTTCATCACCAAAGAATGGGGCAGTGCAATTAACACCCTCTCTTGTTTGATGAAGGCTATGGCTCACTAATAATGAATCTAGCCTTCACTGTAAGTAAATGTCCCTTTTAAAGGTTGATAGTGACCAAGACTAATAGAGCCAAGACAGTATAATGAAATTATTTATCAGGCTTACAGCAAGAAAGTAAAATAAGCAAAAGGTCCAACTGCCTCTGTCAACTATCTTTTATAACCAAATCCTCCTATTATTGTATATGTACAGAATACTGTCTTTTCAATCTTAAACCAGTATTCTGCAAAACAACAATTGGTCAGCTCTTCGTAAAAAGACAAGAAACATAGGTCTACTTTATATTTTATTTTAAAGCTTTTCACAACCAGGTGCTTTCCTTGAACATGCTTTTCTACCAATTTCTCAGCATACAGCAATCCAAAGAAACAATGACAACAGAAGGAAGATGGGAAACAATGAAAATTTTACAAGGAAATTAGTTTTGTGTACAACTCATGGACTACATAACAGCTCATGTCCTTGCTTTTAATAAAACTACAGGAGTTAAGGGAGCGTGCAGAAAATCAGCTTCGTGTTAACCAGGAGCCAGTACCAAAAGCATGAAACCAGACAATGAACTTTTTTTTTTTTTAAACAAACACTTGTGCTCCACTGCTTCTCAGTCTTTACATTCTGAGACTCATTAGACTCCTTATTCTCGATTACTTCTCCTCTTGTTCCTGAGGGTTTTTAGTCACACGTGCCCTTGTGCTCGCGCTTTTGTGTACCTTCAGCTCTGCCTGTTCCTGTCATACTCACCAGACAGGAAAGAGCTGCAACACGACTCAGAAAAGAAGATAAGCACACAGATAAAATTTTATAGCCATGCACTTTCCTTGCAATTTGATGACATCACTGACACTTTAACATAACTGCTGAGCTGAAATCTGTGGAGTGTCACGAGATTCAACAGAAAAATTTTAGAGAGATATGGAATGCTTTTGTGAACAAGACACTAACAATTTTCCCAATTAACCATCAGCTTGTTTAGCATGTGTATTACTGAAAGGTGACATAAACCAAACTTGCCACACTACACAGGGTGTAACAAGGTTTAACTGAATTTTTAACTTTTAATTTGCCAGTCTCTAAACCACTTCCTGAATGGCATTTGCTACTTGGCTTAAATAATATCTACCTCAGTTTCAAAACAATTACCGTCACTCACTTACATCTGCCCTTTTATAAATTGCTTAGATCCTCCCAGGACAGAGGACCTCCAATCTCCCCTACATAAGGTAGAGTGCACATTACAAAGATGTGCTCATTCTCAAAAGACGTCATCATAATTCTCCTTTGAAACTTCACCGCTAGGTTTTAATTTTGATCTTTTTTCATCTTTTCTAATATGGAAGCACAGTTCATACTGTCATATAGAAACAAGCCAAATATTTACAATTCCCATTGTACAGCAAGAAACACTAAACTGGAACCACAGCTTTAGATGAATATTAAAAGAAGCTACTCACTAAAACTTGACCTACAATTCCTTGCTTCTTTTATCTGCAATATGAGACCTAACAGCAAGAAGCAGTTGAGTCCCGGTTCCCACCACCTTCCAAATGCAACAGAAGCCACAGACAGGGAAAGACAAGAGACTTTGCCTCTCACACAGCAGTCGCTCCATGCTCCTACCAGTGCAGGGCCGTCACACACCACCTGGTCTCTAAGCTGCCTTTCACTCACATGCTACAGATTACTGCTCCCTGTCTCCAAGGTCCTTTATCACACTTTCTGATGAAAAGCACTGCTCAGTTATTTGCAGTACACCTGGCACACCAAGGAAGACTCCGTATCGACTAATTCCCATGAACAAAGTTATAGATATGCAGTACAGAAAATCTGGGAAAGAGCAATATAGATCAAGAAAGGAAGATTAGAGGTTTCAGAAAAGAAATACTTCTACTATGCTACCGTCCATGAGGAAAGAAACCTTCCTGCTCCACCACCCTATGCCAAAAAGCAGCTCATACTTTCTGAATGTTTCTGTTGTATCCTCCCCCCTCTCTTCATTATCTTACCTGAACTCACAAGAAATCTGGGCACATTCCCCTTCCCACTCCTCTCCAGTTTTGTCCTTTCCAATCTAGTTACTATTGATTTTTCTCTGTGTGTTTTGTATGGCAGCAGACTGAAAGACCCTATGTCGTTTTTAATCAATCCATAGCATATTAAGACGATGCACTTCTCTGTCTTTACCAAGCACATCAAGCCCAGGTACTTTTTGTCATGCCACAGGAGCAGACTTTGGAGACTGCTGAATATCAGAGAACAGCAGGAGAAGAAATTAAGAAGTACAACTGATTTTTCTTTTCCTATGGATCAATGCTGTTGACTTCCCACAATGAGCAGTAGCACACTCAAAGACAACATCTGTGTAAAAGGAAAATTCCCACTTCAGCAATACACACAGTATTCTCTGGGGAGCAGCCACACAGTACAGGAAACTGGAACAAAACAGGCTAGTGCTTACTTCTAGCCCAAGAGTCACATTTTGCAACGTTCACAGGTGACAAAGACAATTACCAGCCTATAGGCCTCTGCTAGCAACAAGCTCAGCAAACAGCAGCCCCTTGCAGCAGAGGTGTCCCTAGAAGTCAGTACACAAAACTCAGTGGATTCACTTCCAGTGTATACTCATAGTTGCACCTGTTGATTTTCAGTACTGAAAAGGTACTGCTGTTCTTTCTTCTAGCCAAGCAGAGCTACAAGGCTATGATTTCAGCAAGCTGTAGTCTGCACGTTACTCATCAACAAAACTATTGGTGACAATATATGATGTGGGAATAATCCAGCCCAACGGTCACACCCACAGCTGAGTTTTGCCACAACAGCAATTGACACATCCTGTTCCTTAATAAAACACAGCAATTCAATAAATGGATTGCTATCAAAATTAAAACAGAAAATCTCTTTGATGACTCTTCTTTATTGAGCAAGACAGGCAGGAAGTGAAAAAGGTTTCTGTGATGAGCCTCAAAAAAAGCAGCAGCTGAATTTTCTTACATCTTTCATTTGGCGCATATTACAACCCAAAAGGCTCCCTCAAAATCCCAGAAAAGCATTAGTTTAAGAACAAGTACTTCAGAAAATTATGATGACTATAAATCCCCAGCTTAAGTAAAAAAGCAATCAATTTCTCAGGTAATTTAGAGTTCATTACACAAGAGTCTGTATTTTCATGTAATAGCCCACAAGTTTGTTCAGGAATTTGGTGGGGGGGTGGAAAAGTCAGCCTTCTGTTAAGAAACACATTATACGCACGTAAACGTATATACAGGGGAAATTTAACTCAGACCACACTTTCACAGTAGCCTGTCCTTCCCACAAACCCACAAAGCCTGCCATGCATATTCCAAATTGTTTCTCCGCGTCTGATTTCATGTAGGCATGAAAATGCTTCCTGAAATCATCTTTTGATGACTGTATTTATATTTTTCATTACCCAGAACTCCTGCCGCTGCGCTGTCCAAAGTCCCACCATGTCCAATTTTCAAAACCTGGTTTCTTTTATTTCCGTTTGTTTGCACACCAGCTTCTGCAAATAGAAGTTGAAATGAGACATTATAGGACAACCTTACAACACAGGAAAAATAGCACATAATTCCAGATGGCTAAAGGAGATAAAAATCAATTATTTAAACTATGAATTAGTAGTGCAGAAATTGCTGTACTGAATAAGACCAACGTTTCACCTAGACCTCCTCCCAACCCCAAACAATTTTCAAGCTATTTTCACTTAGATTCTAATCAAGTCTTCTGCACTATTATAAAGCAATGGTCAGAAAAAACTACTAGAAAACCTGGCAGACAGTTCACCTGTGAAGTTTCATTAAAAAAAACCATGCAAGAACTAGCAGCAGAGCCCCCAAAATCATCTAGTATACACAAATTTTACACTACATAACCTGAAAAATTTGTGTTGCATTTACTCCCATGTAATGGGCCATGTTTGTTCACATGTATGCAGCCCTGTGGAAACCCTGCAATGAACTGAACTTGCTCACTGCTGCTTTCACGCTGTCAGAGCACCTCAACCCACCATACTTCCTACGCAGCTGATGACTCCAGTAATTCTGCAGAGTCCAATGCCCCTTATTTATTAGTATTAAATATGGCAAACACTCTAAAGCTCCCTGACTTCTTTCTATTGTGTCTTGATTATGCCTTTCACTGCAGGGAATCGGACATGATCCAGCTAAATCTCTCCCATGCACAGCTGAACTAAAGTCCGTGCCTACACTACAGTTCATTACAGAGTAAATCAGCCTAAAGAGGCAACCACCAGCCTGTAAGTCTACATCCACTTCATCAACAAGCGCCCCAAAGCCCAGATCATTAGAAGGAGAATCTAGGCCATAGGCACTCACACCTTTGCAATAATAACACTTTTTTCCCCCCTAACACCCAAGGCTTCCCTGCATTCAGACAAAACAGTTTCCACAGACTGTGCCCAGCACTTTCAAACTCCTTGAAACACTTTTGTGGTTTTCACTCTTGTGATTTTCAATGGCACCAGGCAGTGGGACTGCAGCACAGTGACGCTGCCGACGCCCGTCCGGGCAGGTGGGTGCACGCTGCCCCGGGACCACGCTCGGCAGCTCTCCAGTGACGCTGGGATCCCCCACATCGCCCACCGCGGGGCTGGAGCTTTCCGCTGGGGCACATCTTATCCCCCTCCGAAAGGCAGGCCGGCACCGTGCTGTACCCCAGGCAGCCACAGATGCCCGACGCAAACGAGCAAGCGGAGAATGGGGCCTCGCAGCTCACCCTGCACCG